ATTTCATAAGAATTATATATATATATATATATATATACCATCAACTAATGATAAATAAATAAAATTCCATGGTGTAAATGAAAACGTCAACCAATGCCCTCCAACTGACCTAGATTGAGGTAGATGGATTTTCTGTAAGCCTAATTGAGGCACAGCCATATCACTTGGAGTTGGAGAAAGCTTTTAACATAATTGAATTTGAAGAAACCCATTTCCTTAAACATGTTGGTATGTAACTTAATCCTTTTATAGGATCTCAGCGTCCATTACAAGTTTTATAAAGTTTATGTTGTGATGTACACTGTACATTAAGAAGCATAAAACTTTCGGCTTAGAGAAATAGTCCTAATGTAGCTTAAAGACCCTCCCCTGTGTACTCTACTACTAATTTGGTGGACACGCTAAAAACCTTATTTATAAACAGAATAACTAAAACAATTTAATTCAGTACCCGTAATCATATAAACATAGAGGTTTGGTCTTGTATTTAGATTTCTATAGATTTATTACGAACTTGATCTTGCTTATAATGTTAGTTTTCCTCATAATTTATTTGAACTTTTGTCTTTAAGTTTTGTTAATTACAACAATCAGTAAAGTAACGCGAAACAACACGTTAACAGTTTTGTCAATGACAAAGTTCACAACACATTCTTACATAAGTATTTTAGCAGATGAAACTGAAGAAGGAAGTAATAATTTTTTTCTGCACAATAAGAAAATAATGGTAAACCATAATGTCTAAACAATTTGTTTCTCTTTGTAGTTCTTGAATTATTTAACATCAGCAGCATTCTGATTGCCATGTTTGGATCGTTACAAGCTTTAAAGCAGCATTCTGGTTATCATGTTTGGATCATTACAAGTTTTAAAACAGCATTCTGGTTATCATGGATCATTACAAGTTTTAAAGCAGCATTCTGATTGTCATGTTTGGACCATTAGAAGCTTTAAAGCAGCATTCTGATTGTTATGTTTGGATCATTAGAAGCTTTAAAGCAGCATTCTGGTTATCACGTTTGGATCATTAGAAGCTTTAAAGCAGCATTCTGATTGTCATGTTTGGATCGTTACAAGCTTTAAAGCAGCATTCTGATTGTCATGTTTGGATCGTTACAAGCTTTAAAGCAGCATTCTGATTG